GAGGAAAAAGCTGTCAGCTTAATGTCTGAAGCTGACAGCTTTTTCTCCATTCAGATCGGCATCTAACAGGTTGCCCAGCAGGAAAAGCCTCCCGGCTGTGTAGCCTGTCACGGAGCCTCAGCGGTGAGGAGTAAGTGAGGGACAGGGAGGCTCCTTCCTGTCTCCTTTTCACTAGCTTGGGGGTGGGGCTTCGTCCAGCAGGGGTGGGGCCTAGTCTGTCATGGTCCGATCTGCTCCTTACAATGCAGGTTTGAGTAGGCCTATTATTTAGAAACAATACACTTCCTAAGTGACTGATACTTTACCTCAACAGTGAATACTGGTCCCCAAAGCAAATTGTCATAATGTGGGACTAGCAAACTTCCACATCATGGAAACTAAAGGTGGCCATACAGTGTGCAAATTTCCACCGGTTCCGCTGTCGGCACCCTTTCTGCCTGCATCCCTCGATCAGCTGATCGAAGCTGGTCGTAAAATCTTCGTATGTACAGAGTCGGCAACCAATGAGCTGCCTCCTCTGTTGGGGTATTCTGACAGTGGCCAGCAGCCGCTGTCTGATACAAAAAGAAATGGCGGGGATTCCTCGATCATTGCACTTGTAGTGTTGATGGAGGAATCTGTTCTATTTTGATTTTGTTTGGTTTGCTGGTTGAACGAAAAAAATAGAGCAGTGTATGGCCAGCTTTACCCTCTGGTTCTCCCGCATTCACTGCTGACAGGTCTGCACTCCCCAAGTCGCTTGGTCTTCTTCCGGCCTGGTGTCAGACCCATTGGCTATTGGGTGCCCAATTATGAGGTTACTCCACTGCACACATCTAAAGTTACATAATCCTACATGTCATCCAGCTCTATTTCTGGCATCTTACAGATCTTTAGTGCAGCTCCATAGACTGCACATGTGTGCCGCAGGCAGTATATGCACACAAAAAACATTGCTAGGAAACAGGTAAAACAGAAGAGACTTTACAAACTTTTTTTCCAAAAAACTTTACCTGACAGCAAAATTCTTTTATAGATCAGTTCCCGTTAAGTAGTCAGGTAGATACATTGGGATTGATTTACTAAAGGTACAAAGGCTCCCTTTGCAAGGGAAATTGCACTTTGCTCCCTGTTATTTTAGTGAATGAGGTGAAGCTCTGCTGACTTTCATCACCCAATCATGTGCAAGCAAAAAATGTTTTGCATTAGCAAATCAACCCCATTGACTTAAATTTTCTGAGACTGGAGCAAACAGAATCTGAAGCAGTACCCCAATGCAACCAATCAACTTCTATCTTTCAATTCAAAGCTTTTAAATTACCTTTTAAAGGGAACAGCTGATATACCTTTAGCAAATCAACCCCAATGCCTCACTGCTCCTGTTTAGCATTGCCTTGCTATGTGACAGAACTGATAAAATATCCCTCATTTTCTCTCTAAACTGCATCTATTGATGATCCCCTGCCAATTTTGCATAGGATAGCCATGACTTAAAGCACTGCTTCCCCTTTATTAATTTAACTATTTCCCTGCCAACGACGTAAGGCTTACGGCGGAACACACCCGCTTGCAGCTGGCCACGGCAGTAAGCCTTATGTCGGTGGCTTTCGCCCTTCTACTATAAGTTCATGGTCGCTTTAGCGACCATGAACTTATATCAGAAGGGTACCTCCGACGGTCCCCTGTAAATTAATAGCTGCCATCAGTACTATGTGGCCCCAGTTATGAATGAACAGGAAGTGCTTTCCATCACTTCCTGCTCACTCATGAGTTTCTAAATGGGTAGAAGCTGATCTGCACAGAGGCTTCTATCCATTCATAACTGGTTGATAGTAAATATTTACTATCTCCAGTTTGTGAATGAATGGGAAGCCTCTGTATTGAGTGCTTTCCATTAATTCAGTGCTGAGGTTGCAGAGAAAGAGATTGAGGACTCTGTGTCCTCAATTTCTTTTTCTATTGCAAAAGGGAAATGTCAGGGGTCCGTGTGGGCCCGGGACTGGCATGGCAGGTTTCCATGCATCAATCGGAGAGAGATCAGCAGGCTTCTAGCCGCTGATCTCTCCTCCGATCACTGGACTTGGATGTTATGTGTATTACATCACTTCCGGTGTCACTGTTTACATTTTCCAGCTTTTGGAGCCAGGAGCAGAAAATTGGTGAAGCAGATATCTGCTTCATCAGCTTCTTTGGGGTCCCCTGGTGACATTAGGGGTCTGAAAGACCCCTGATGTCTCCATAAAGAGGACCTGTCACACCTTGTCTGCTATTACATAGGGGGCTTGTCAGCCCCCTATGTGATAGCAAAGTAAAAAAAAAGTGCTTAAAAAATAACTAAATTAAATAAAAATGTAAAAAATGCAAAAACATTTTTTTTAATTCTCCCGCTCCCCACCTGCACGCACATACATAATAAAAATCGCACCACACTTTTCATTTTGAGTAGATTTCCCTTCAGTCACTGTCCCAGACAAAGAAACAGGTCATGAAAGCAAATCTTGTCACAGTGGGTGTAAATCCCTTTGGAGACATTTGTCAAAGAGTGTGTATTATAATGAGTATTAGACCCAGATAAAGAAGTAATTCCAGTCCAATAGCACATACAAAATAGAGAAAGCATGTACTGGATTTAAAAAGAAAGGGCTTGTTGTTGTGACACCCCAAGGTACAGCAGAAGATGAACATTTTAGGGATGCAATATCCTCTTATTTATTTTCTGAGGAGGATATTGAAAGTGTATCTGTTGTGACTTCCAGCAGTACAGAAAGACAGTAACAATAAGTACCAGAGCAAATGCCTCAATTTCCTTTCCATTCTTGTACCATTTCCCCTCCATTCTTGTAACAGTTATGACTAACATTTTTGGATTTCCCATTACTGTCAAACCCTAGAGCCAATTGCCAATAGGACAGATAAAGGAATGACTCTCCCCACAAGGGACACAGACAGCAATAAAAACCGGAAAGGGATTTCAATAATTACCTACTCTATCTAAACCTACAAAAAATAATTTGGCTTTAGATATACTTATATATGTAAGATAATGCTACTAGCATATCTATGCCCCAGGCAGAAGTCAACATATGATACTTCAGCCACAGGTAAGGGTAAGAAATATACATTTGCCAGCCTGTGTATGTGTGCTTAAGGTAGGCTTTGGTCAGCTATATGAACTTTTTTGGAGTTTACCAGTGAACAGCAGCTCAATCAAAGAGCTGCTACCTGAAAACAATTTGAAATCTGCTGATTTTCACAAGTTATAGAAGATAGTTTTTTTTTGTCATCATAAAAAGGTAATGGTCTTTACACTGCCCATGTCTGAAAGACCCAAACCTGCCTGATTCTGCAAGGCATAGATGACATAGTGGGCTCCAGTGGAAGCCCAAGAGACCGGAAAGATCTATTATTAACATAAATGTATGGGGAGCTTTATTTGACAAGATTATATACAGTTTCTAGAACACCATGTTATAAACTAAATAGGAACAAAACAGACAACTTTTGCTACCCCCTGCCCCTCATATATTCCTATTATTCCATCACCATGATGGGCTGCCTCACTGGCCAATAGGAATGTGTAGGAGGCAGGAAGAGGCAGGCAAGATTTGTCATGCGCAGATAAAGTATTTTCCGCCAGCACAACAAGGGATTCAGCCATCTGCAGGCACTTGATTGTTGATGACCGATTATTGTTAACATAACAAATACGTTAGTTAAAGGGAGAAGATTAGTCACCCATTAGAAATTTCATCTTAGCTATGATGCCATAACTAATATTACAGTATGTGCTATGTATGCTTCAGATTAGCCCAGTAGGACAAACTGAGTACCAGATTCTTGTGGAACAGATTGTAGTTTCCCCTTGATGAGAATTATTAGAGCTTTTTCCTGGCGAAGTCTACCTAATAAAGTATTGGAGGATAAATGAAACCAACATTTCTCTCCTCTCTTTTTATCTAATAAACATCATTAGCACATGCAGTAGAGTACACCCTTTTCAAGTCTACTTACTAAAACTAATCACTCAAACCTCAAGACATGTTTCAAACTGCTCAGCCTAGTTGTCAAAAATACCAGTACCAAGAATGATATCTTCTATGGCAACCTCAGCTAGGTATTTCCGGCTCTATAAGCCATTTCATGAAACTAACAAGACCTATAAAATTCAGAGTGCTGATAACAATTAATCCTTGGGCCACTGCCCCTTAACAGACCAACTGACTTCCACCTGTGATTACCCAGCAAAGAAAAATAATTATAAACAGAAATGATAAAATGCTTAATTTTTTTTATTCTGGTAATTATCATCACACAGATTTTATGTTATGCTGATGAAATGTTGTGTTAAACAGCCAAGAAACTTGCTATACTGAAGGCAGCCCTTGAACCTTAAACAAAAAAGTTGTGAAACGGTCCAAGATTCTAAGAGGGTTGAGAACCGCTGCTTATTATGGTTTTGTTACTTGTACAATAAGAAATGGGACACACAAATAAATAAAGGTCATGTAAGCCATTAAGAGACAAATTAGTATTTCAGTCTTCTTTTAACATACAAGTGTTATCTGTGTTATCTGTTCCACAAAAACGGTCTCTAGACTGGCACTTAAGTGTCTTTGTTCTGTTTACAGCATTTACAGTTCCTGGAATTGGGATACATTTATTTATCTTTGTTAGATGAAGGTTTATGTAATACTGTTTGGTTTCAGCTCCAAATAAATCCTTTCTGCTGGACACACATGTAGTTATACTTTTAGCATAGCTGGAATGAGGTTAGGTTCTTCTGTATGTACACAGATCCCTGAGTCCCAAGCCCTGCATGGGGCCACCTATGTTTAAATGCTTCTGACAGGTCTTATTATACTTCTTCTCAACCCCAGGGAGGGTCAGAAATAAGCAGGCAGTGTAGGATACTGCCTGTTGCAAAGGTGCCCACACCTGACTTTTGGACTTGAGATATAACATCACACTATGTATCTCAGGTAACAAAGAATGCCATGCACTCATGACCAAAACACATGAGGAAGGACAATGTGCATGAGGCAGGGAGGAGAGCGGCAATAGTCACATGAATGCAGTAGGGGATGGACATACATATGGGAAACATAGTAACACGTCACAACTGAATTTAAGTTTTTGCCATATTGATGTAGGCTGTCAACAATGGCAATAACAGTTCTGTGGCATATTCTATAACATGTTTTTTCTCTTTGGCTATTCCATAACAACCCCCCTCTTTAGTCTAGAAGACCGGCCTCTTAATACTAGCCCTTTAAACTGCACACTGTTGTGTGTATGGGTTTCTGGGGCATATAAACAACTAATAACTAGAATTCAAGGTGTCCTGGGTTCCAAGTATTTTTCTGCTTTTATAGTTTTTTTTCTTACCCTGTGCAGTTATGTAGTGTTGAGCAAATGCATAGAAAATTGTTGTTATAATTAGATCATTAGCCCCTTTGCTGGTCTGTTAATATTGCTCTACAAAGGGGTCAATGAGAATCATTCATTCATAGCAGTACCATCATGAATGCATCTTCTCACCCTCCCCTCCCCCACCATGGCCCCATTTACAGTCTGTCTTCCTGCACGTACTTCTGTTTGTCACGGGCGTCACGAGCTTTTGCACGGTTCTGGCGGTTAGCTGAAGCTGGGATGGAGTGAACAGATGAGCTCTTTTTGCTTGAGGAGTGTGAAGAGTGCGAGGAGTGAGAGAGGCTGGCACGAGACTGGCTGGCATTGTGGTCGAACTGCATCAGGCAGAAGATGAGGTCAGTGGGCACCATCTCAAATTCATAAGGAGGATTTGTGATAACATACCTGGAAGACAAGAGCAGATTTCTCTAGCTGACATGAAGTGAGAGATCAATTAACAGCCAATATAAAACATGAACTATCCAAATTGTTAGGTGTACAAGAACACTTCACTACTACTATTTGTTCATAAAAAAAGACACCAGTACATAGCAGAACAAGAAAATAATTTTATTGTAATCTTATCCAATATCTCTACTTACCTTTTTGTACACTGACTTGGTGTACTTAAGTGTGCATCACGTAGCCGATATATGCCAAAGCATAACATGTTGTATGTTTTCAGAGCTTTGCAGTACAAATCCCCATAACATCCACCATCCTGCAGAAAGTAAGAATATGCATAAGTCTACATATCAGTTGAGCAATCGGTTATATATCTGTTCAAGGTGCCTCTTCATTTCCATTGTGACTAAGCAGTAATTCTGCTTTATTGTATATTTAAAATAATAACACTCCTCTGAAACCTTTCAACATCAACAGATGCCCTCTGAGTAATTAATAAAACGTGTCTCAGACAAACTCAACTATGTCTTAACTGGAGCACAGCAATCAGCTTTTAAACTTTGATTTACCAAGCTGTCAAAGCTTGCACAGCAAAATATGTTGTTTTGTGCTTTATGTATATCATTTGTGGTTTGGGGGGACAGTACTGTCTGGCCACCTCTTCAAATTTTATTGTAATTAAAATGCACACAAATCTCATTTGACAAAGTTTAGTTTTTTGGAATGAAGATTTTTTGGTTTAAATTGATCTTGTTGGTGGAACACAGTGGTTTTCCTTCTGCCTGTTATTATTACACTACCAAAAGATATGAGATGGCATCTGCACAATCAAGCTGTTTTTGCATGGACTGGATGATGATCTCATTCTTGGGAGGCCCACAGACAGCCACCGTCTCAAAAGAGAATTAGAAAAAGTTTATTAAATTGGTCTGTACCTGACTGACTCTTCCTTACCCCAAGATCAGCAAATGGACCATCATACAATGCCAGCTGGGCTACTCGGCAGCGATCCCTGTTGGCTAGGGTTTGTGGGGTGCTGTACCCTCCTCGTAACGCATTCTCTTCTGCTATAAGGGCCTCTAGCTCTGGTGTTGCACCTCCTGTCACCAATGTTCTGATCAGCGTTAAAATATTGTCATTGAAGTATGTCTAGGAATATGAAAAATTTTAAAATGTTAAAAATGCACTCATCATCAGACATTACTATGCAACTGTGGAAAGCATCAACATCATCATGAGTTATGGGTCAGAGAAACTTTCAATCGTTTTCATCGACTTGTGGAGTTCATGTCCCAGGTACCTAAACTTGCTCTGAAGATAAAACCTGATGTACCACAACATAAAAAAAGTTGTAATGATTAAAAAAAAAAGACAAGAACCACCAGATTGAATTTTTAATAAGGCACACAGTCTGTGAGAAGAATCTGTAGTTGGTTTTAATAGGTACGGCACAAATCTGGAATTTTAGACATCAGACCAGCAGGTTTGACAATACCATGTAGGATGTAGAGGATACGTTTTTTCACTTACCCTTTGAGGGAAGGGGTCTTTTCCATCATGTCCTAGACAGTGGCATTCCTGATCCTGCTGGTCTTCACACTGTGCTCCTACTTCCACATAGGTGATCTGTAGATGGGGTAGAAGAACCCCCAATCTTTATCCTCTACACCTCAAAGATGATCAGAATCTGTTGTGGACTGCTGCTGAAAGGCCTGTCAGATAACAGAACTCCCTTTTCCTGAAGTCCAGAGTTATGAGTGTTCTATTTCAGCCTCCAAATGTTCACTGGTTTGCTTTTGATTGCGACAAACTTTGTTCAAACTTCCTAAGTAAACACTCTTATTTGATGGCCACCTCAGCTGTTGATCCAACTTCTTTCTCCTGTTCAGGGATTTGTTCCGTCTGTTTTATTTATGGTGGATGATTAGTTGTTCGACACATAATAGTTGTGGTCCATCATTCTTGCAGGTAGCAGTTTCCCTGCAGTGATGCTACCTGTCCTGCTCGGGTACACCAAATTAATTCTCTGTTCCACATTCCCTTACCCCTTTTTTTAATCTAGTCTTGTTAAGGCAATGCTTCCTTTGGAAGGTCTTATGGTAGGATTCCACTCCCGTTTGGTCTCGCAGTGTGCTGCTTAGCCCTCAGCTGGACTGCTTTTGCATGTCCCAATTATCTCTAAATAACTGAATCCTGTGTCTCTTAATGAAGAAGAAAGAAAATAGACTGTTTTTTCCCTTGCTTACCAGAAAATATTGTATGTTTCTTTGAATTCATTTTAGAAAACATGTCCCACCCCTCTGGTAGCAAAGCAGTATTAGGAGTAGATCACAAACACAAACTGAAACATGCTGGGAATGGGGGGAAGTTATACCTGCCTGGCCAACAGCAGTTTTGTTTGGCAGTGACTAAATCCACCGCATTGTCTCTAAATATCTGAACTATGTGTCTCCTTAATGAACTCCAAGAAACATATTTTACAGTAAGCACAAAAATCCAGATTTACATTAGTATATTGCACTGGATTTCTAAATGACCAGGTGCAAAAAAAAAGTGTTCCTCTAATGAATCACCTAATAAGGGGCATGATGGTATACAATTGTTGTAGTGAAAGGTTGATTGAATTTTCAGACATGACATGCATTGGTTTGGAAGCCTGCTTTTGTGTTGCTAATGTCACAGCCGATTATCCTTTGCTGAACTAAGGTCTTGGGTGTTTCAGAACTCTTTCAGCTGCTCTGACAAGAACATGTATCAATTAAACATTCAGCTAAATGGTAGACAGGCTTGTGTCCTTAAAAAAAAAACTCTAGGGTATGTAGAAGGCTTCATATTTAAGTGACATTCTGGCAGTGCACGGTTGAGCCCATCATGCTTTTTAAATATTAATCATGCACACTGCCACATGACTGCTTCATTAGAATCATGCATTGCTTACTGCAGTCTACACAAGTCTATGAAGGGATCAAATGACATGCGTAGAGCAAACCATGCTGAGACAGGTTGTAGTAAAGTTCAGTTGGCACGTCATGTCAAATAGCTGAAATTACATCATAAATAATATTTAACGCATGTGTCGGCAATAGTTATTTAGCAAAGGAGAGCTTCCTCACTAGATAAAAGTACAACCCCAATTTCAAAAAAGTTTGGATGGTGTGTGTGTGTAAAATCCAGATAAAAACAGAATGCAATGATTTTCAAATCTCATGAATCCATATTTTATTCACAATAGAAAATAGAAAGGCAGCAACACATCTCGAAAACGTTGGCACAGGGCAACAAAAAGCTGGCAAAGAGGTACTAACAAGAAAGAGCTGGAAGAACTATTGCAATTAAATAGGTTAATTGGCAACACATCAGTTACATGATTGGGTATAAAAAGAGCATCTTAGAGAGTCAGAGCGTCTCAGAACTTAAGATGGGTAGAGGTTCACCAGTATGTGGAAAGCTGCGTCTAAAAATTGTCAAACAATTTTAGAATAATGTTCCTCAACGAAAAAATGGAAATACTTTAAATATATCATCGTCTATAGTACATAATATCATCAAAAGATTCTGAGAATCTGGAGAAATCTCTGTGAGCAAGGGACAAGGCCAAAACGCAGATGGCACGGCATTAAAACAGGCATAAATTTGTAAAAAAAATTCTGGAAAAACAATATCCACTATGCATTAGTGCATATGGAATGGGCAGCTTGCACATCTGAAAAGGCACCATTAATGCTGAAAGATATATCAAGGTTTTCCAGACAATGTCTCCTCAGTTTTCAGACGTTTACAGAGTGTAAAAGAAGAGGGTATATTACACTCTGGTACACATGGCCCTGTCTGAACTTTTTTGAGACGTGTTGCTACCATCAATTTAAAAAGTACCTTCTCTTTTCCTTAAAGAAGAACTATGAGGTGAGTCATTTTCACTCATCCTCATAGTTCTAGCCGACCTGTGACAATGAAACTATCACCGGTCGGCTCAGTAGATCGAGAAGTGAGCGAACAAATACCGGCGTTCGCTCACTTCTCGATCCCGTCACGGCAGAGAGCCGTGACAGGGGAGGGACTGGGTTCCCCGCTCCCCACTCCGATCCTCCAGCGCTGACTGGCAGAACGGACGGGGGAGGGGGCGGGTACAGCTGGCTTTGCCTCAGCTTCGGCGTCTCAGTATACCGCGAGCTGTAGCTCGCGGTATACTGAGCTTAGGGTGACGGGAGGACGCCCTTAGGAGAACTATGGGGAAAAGCCCTAACCCCATAGTTCTCCTTTAAAATGATACATTTTCTCAGTTTAAACATTTGATATGGTTTCTGTTTTTCTATTTAGAATAAAATATGGGTTTATGAGATTTGCAAATCATTGCATTCTGGTTTTTTATGTAGATTTTACACAGTGTTCCAACTTTTTTGGGAATTCAGGTTGTAGTTTTTAGGTACTGTTGTCACATAGTGATGGAGCACATTGGTGATGTCACCAATTCCAGCATTCTTATGCAACTTAATCAATATCTATCCATCCCACAAAAGCTGACTTCATTAGTTAATAGACACAAAGTGTTCTTTAATAATACAGGAACAGTTATTTTTAAGAAAATCACTTACTGCACTCATGAGTGAGTCCAACACGCTTACAGCAAAGGCAGTTCCACAGGCAAAAGGCTGGGTCAGATAGAGCTCAGTGTCTGGGTCATCATCATCATCTTGATCCAGAAACTGAACATTGGAATCATTCACTGTAAACCACAAACACAAAGTCATTAGCTCTAGAATACAGAAGAGGTTATACTTTTGCTGATCATACCCCACTTACTAATGAACATTGCTACATTGCTACTTGTACATGCTGGCTTCTGGTGAGCTCACAGTGGGGGCTGTTATTCTCTTATTGATACTACACAAAAGTCAGCCAAAAGTTTAAATCAGCTCTGCCAAAACGAAACAGGTTACGAAGAACACGTCTACTTAAAGCAAAACAAATATATTGTTTATGCCAAAATGCCTGAGATAAACTCAAGGGTATTGTAAATATGCAAACAGCCATAAATCAAATGGGTAGCAAAGCTTTGCAGAGGCAAAAAAGAATGGGCCAAATAGGTGTGCACAGTGGATTTATCCTGCTGCCTGTATTTCTGAAGTTCTTTCTATCCCGTATATCTCTAAACCTCCCACTGCCCCCAAGAAAATCAGAATCTATCTGCTCTTCAATAACCCAAGAGCTTGATCACTCCAGAGAAGTCAGAAATGAGAAACAAACACTAGGAAAAGGCTGCAAGGCATGTGGAGTCTTCGGTTTTTGCCTTTTGAATCATGTCTCCCTTGTCTGAACAGCCAATCATACTGACAGACAAACAGGAGCTGGAGGCAGCTAAGTATCAGCTCCGTTATAAGAAAAGATTCTGTATCAGAGGTTATTGTGATCAAAGTCATACTGATGTTGGCGTGAGAACCATGAACAGAAAATCGTTACAGAAGATGCAAACCAGTTTCACTTAAAAACTAGAGCCACACACACAAGGTACAAAACAGAAGCAGCCAAAACCAAAAGCACTGCATGATAATGTAGTGAGGTACTGTCCCTCGCAAAGTCAAAAAGGAAAGCACTTAAAACACAGAATGGTAAATAAAAAGAATTAACTTAAATACAAAACAATATGTACAGTACAAATGCGGTGTAGGGGTGCAACCAGTCCAACAACAGAGCACAATGCATTTGTATGTGCATTAGACCTCATCATATGAACTCCCCAGAAAGAACTTTTTCATACCAGTGATTTTCCTTCCATGATATCCATGATAGATGGCTGATCATATGCTTTTAAATGAAAAGAAAATTGCATTGTGGGAAGGGGACACAAGAAGTTTACCATTTAAAATAATTAAGGGGAGTTCAAATGATTCAATCCTCCAAAGTACATTTTAAAGTAATAAGGATGGATTCCATCAAGTGGTTGGCCTGAACACACAGAGTTTCTTTTTTTTGAACTGTGTTTGCTGGTTGCGCCTCTCAGTGGGCCAGCCATATAATTACCACAGTGACAAAAAGGTAAAGAAAGAAGAGGGGCTTCTCCTTACCCAACTCTGTAATTATTGGTAATTGAGTTCCACTGGTTTTTTCCTGACTGAATGAAATCAAAGGCAGCAGTTTGCCAGGCTTAGCTGAATGGTGGTAGTGTTAGATGGGGATAAGGCAGGAGAGGTTTAAAGAGAAAAGACAGAAAGAGGGTGAGGCAATAAGGCAGCTCCAGGAATGAGACAGGATAGAGACAGATAGGAGGTACAGGACCGAGGACAGATGTATCTCAAACATATTCATAGTTGTGTGACACAATATACTAAGATGCTACATATTCACATATGCAATAGAAAACATTGCATATTTATGTTAGAGGTGACTGGCAATTTAAAGCAGATAATCTCTTAATAAAAGCCACTTAAAAGATGTTGGATCCTAACTTACTGGATGTGCCATGTTGCTCAATGTGCACAAAAACTATGTGTAAATATTATCTAGAACTGCAGCACTCTAACTACATTTGCATCATTCTTATCAGATTCGTATCAGATGTCATGTACAGAATGATCATTGTACGTACTTGAAAATGGAGTAGCAGAAGCAAATATAGGAAGGCACTGCCTACACCATCCTGCAGAATCCTGGTGCAAGGTGCAAATGTCCACACATTCACACTTTACCTGCATTGATTTCCAGCTTACCTCTATTTATAAATTATACAATGTTTTAGTTGCATAAATTCATTTTTAAAGATAAAGAAAATAATTTTTGTCACACTAGGTAAACTGTGAACGGCGTAGTCACATTATAGCTACATTGTATATGCTCCAGGTAAAAATTGGGATTTGCTGCCATTAAGGGAAAAAGATGTCACCGCTCAATACCCTCATCTGCTTCCCCTGCCACTGGAACTCCAGGGGCCAGCTAAGGAGCTCAACCATGCTAGCAGATAGAGGAGGAAACAGGAAGCTGTACAATAATGACGTACGATCCTGAAAAGTCAGCACATAACACACAGCAGACTCCGGGGGAGGGAAGTGTTATATACAATACAAAATAAACTTCTTTTGTTCAAAACCTTCTAGTTACAAAATTTACAATAAAAATATTTCTGCACACAATGAAGATACAGCTATATTGGGATACTATGGGCAGTTAGAAAAAACAGAAACGTATCATAAGTAGCAAGAACCCTCCTAAAAACATGAACATTCATTAAAGATGAATGTATAAAGCATAAAAAAGATGATCTTAAAGACTTTGATACCAGAAGTAGGAGGGAATATAAAAAGTGTTATACTTACTCTGTATCCTTAGTGACTGGCTATAGTATGGAATTCGAAGTTTAAAAAAAATGATACACAGGTTATGACCTATATTGCATGGCAACACTGAATCAAGGAGTTTCTTTTGTGACCAAAAAGGCACCTACAATTGGTAGTTTTTGTTTCCCAGGCTATTTCAGTCTAACAGGAATTCGCATAAATGGCTGGACATGGTTGGGAATGTTTAGGTGTTGACCCACTCATTGTTTAAATTGCCCTCATCTGGTGATGCCCATACTGTCCAGTCATTTGCTTATGGTTGTTTGTGCGCTAAGAGTTGGTGAATTATCATACCAGTTATGTAATTTATGCTTTATGTGACCTCTTTAGGGATCGTTTGTCCAATATTAAAACCAACAAAAATACAAGTGTAGCACTTCATTTTGTAGATCATCATGGTTTTAATGTAGACTTCCTTAGAGTAGACATTTTAGAGAAGGTTAGAAACCCTGCTGGGGGTGGGGGTGAGGGGGGTCGATAATTTTGACTTACTATGTACAAGAGAAGTATATTGGATCTTCAATTTAGAGACTAGAATACCCAAGGGAATTAATTTTAATTGGGATGTTACCTGCTATTATGGATTGATATGTTCTGTTTTTTTTCTTCTTCACTTACCTATTCCCTTCTCTTTTTCCTCCTTTCCTTCCTTTTGTACAACCTTTCCTTTCATCCTCTTTACCCTTGCATCCCCCCTTCTACTCTTCCCTTCTCCTTCCTTCCTCTCCCCCCCAGCTCCTTTAATATGTACAGTATTTAGTATATGGCTGTTCCTTGATCTATTTTCTCAGAAGTGGTTGTTTTCTATTCCTCTCCAATGTATTTTTTTTTTACATTTGTTTTCAGGCCTGGTTAACACCTAGGCGGCAATGTTTTTGCGCATTTGTACGCATGCGCTGAGCTTGCGGTTATTTGCTTGTTTATGCGCGTTTTGCACATTTTGCGCAACTACCAGGAGTGATGTGAACGGAGTGGATCTAGTGGATCTATGCGATGGGGGAAGCTGGTGGATCTTGGTATGTAAGAACTGGGTGAATGCCGTACTGTTAAAGCAAGCTGACTTACAGTTGGAAGCTTCTCTGTGGTCTGTGCGGCGCCCTCATTAGACAGATCCTGGGTCGCCGAGACCCGGTGGTGTCCCCGGTGGTATAAGAGGTTGGTCTGTTGGGGGTGCGTGTCAGTATGGCCGTCCGCGTTCTCGGCTGGCCGGGCCGCGTCGGTCAGGGACGGAGACAGAGTGGGAGGAGCTATACCCGGCTGGGGAACGCCCTGTGACGGGGTGGATCCCAAAGTCTGTGACTGTCGGGTGTCTCCAGTGGCTGGCTACGCGTTTCGAGGGTTAACCTCTTTTTCAAGCCTCAAAACTACTCCAACAATCTGCCATTGTGGACATCTTTCTGAAAATCTGGTGCAAGCTAAAACTCTAAAGCTAGACTCTACAGAAAAGCAGCATTTTCTGTAAGGAAAAGTCAGCAATGGTTGCCACAACATTTTTCCCAGTATCGGTTGCCTATGAAGTGAACCTGTGCTGTACACATGTAGTGGAAAGCAACAGTTTCACCTAACTACAACTCTCACTTGCTGCAAGCACCTAGGTCTGTCACAAGGGGGCTGAGATAGAATTCTCAGGCCTGTGTAAGATCCATATCACGACCTGGAGCTTACACAGGACTTTTTTTTCCAAGCAGCAAAATAAAGCAGCAGGGGTGTGAAGTGTAGGTGCCTATGTGCAGCTGGGAAGGGCATCAGTCAAGTGGACTTCTTGCTTAGTCTTGCATGCACAGGTTCACTGTAAGTGTGCCTAACCAATCACAGATGTCAGGCTGGACAATTGACACACTCCCAAGACCAAAAAAAAACCCATGTACGATTGTTTAAAACACCTATGTAAGATGCTTGTTGGTATCCTTACAACTTATTGGAACAATGATTCATTCCTCTTAAATAGGATAAAATGAAAAGCAATAGTCTCCTGTATACCTGCATGCCTTTGGTATTTCATAGAGTAAAATAAAGAAAGTGTGAAAAGAGATAAATTATAGCTTGCTCCACAAAGATATTCTAAAACAGCATGGACAATTTTTTGGTACCCCTAGAAAAGATTATTTAGAATTGGATTTTATTGATATTTCAGTTTTCTCTAATTAGTATTACACAGGTCTTCAATACTGTAACTAGTCATTCAGCCTGTTTAAATAGCGAAAAATAGTTACTCTGCTGTTTGCTATCATCATGTGCACCACACTGAATATGTACCATAGAAAGCAACGGAGAGAGTTTTCTGAGGTGATCAGAAAGAAAATTCTAAACCAGCATGCCGAGGGAAAAGGCTATGAGATCATCTCCAATCAGCTGTTCCTGTGACTACGAATGCAAATATTATTAATGAAAAGTTTTTTGTTTAGAAGCGCCAAGGGCAATCCTTATCCCTCACAAGGAAGGAGTACTGAGCATATGTACTCACAAGACTGAAGTAAAAACGAGCTGCAGAACAATAAAACCGGAGCAGTAAAAGGATCCATACAGTGCGTCCTGTGTGTGAATTACTGAGGTGTCGCCCCCTTCATCAGGACGTGATAACAGTCTCCTCCCTGCTGTGACTAAAGAAGGGGCAGCTGGGGCGTGATTGGACCGGGCAATAGATGCTGATGGGACATCAGCGTATGGTGGGTGGTGTCCAGGTTGGTGATGGGCAGGCTGTACATGCCTTAAATCTGACACATAACTCGCGGCCAATCGGAGCTGTGTAAAACCGAAGGCTATACAGACATTAATTATGTCATTGATGAGATGTCCCAGTCCATAGGGACAGAAAGCTGCTATCAGCCCTGTGTAGATTCACAGGGGGAAAGGGGTAACCGAAACGGAGGGACGGGAGACTGGAATCACTACTCGGCACATACCACATTATATATAAATTCGTTAGGTGCAGAATTGGGGGTGAAACTGAGACCTTTGAGGAGAACAGATTTGTCTATTTTTAAAACATTACCGATGGAAGAAGGTTACCGTTGGGCTTCGTTGGATGTAGCCTCCTTATATACCTCCATCGAGCACCAATTCGGCCTTCAAGCGGTCCAACATTTCATGGCCAAATCGGGGGATTTTAATTCTGGTCAGGCCACCTTTATCCTTGAAGCCATTGAATTTGTTCTGACGCATAATTATTTTATGTTTCTTGACACTTTCTACATTCAATTAAAGTGCACCGCCATGGGAGCTAGTTTTGCAACCTGTTATGCCAACTTACTTATGGGATTCTGGGAGAAATGTCATATCTGGTCTTATAACCCATTTGGATCCAAGTTGGTTTTATTCGACAGATATATAGACGACATCATTATTATTTGGGACGGCACAGATGATGAATTCTTATCCTTTGTGGAATATTGTAAAAGTAATCACTTTAAATTAGATTTTACTTTTGTTATTGATGACAAAAATGTGGTGTTTCTAGATCTAGAGCTAGGAGTAGATGAGACAGGTATCATCCCAGATCCATCCCAGTGGATTAGAAATGTTCCTGATGGACAGTTGGCAGACTAAGAAAAACTTGTACATCTAACCTCGACTATCAGTCCTTGGGGGCGACACTTACTAAGAAGTTTCTAGATAAGGGATATGAGGCCCAGTTAATTGAGGATGCCTACAGAAAACATCTTGTGACTATCCCCAAAAAAGTACGGACCAACAAGAACTTGTACAGAATACATTTCTGTACACAGTTCAATGATGGAGCGTTTCGGATTTCAAAAATCCTGAAAAACCACTGGCGTATACTCAAAGAAGACCCGATATTGAAACATTCCCTTCCGAACTTTCCAAATATAATTTATAAAAAACCTAAAAGACCTTTGCAGTTTAATAGCCCCCAGCAGACTAAAATCCACCAAAACAACTAATTTAGGTAAAGGACTCTTTGGACAAATGGGGTGCTATAAATGTAATGTTCATAGCTGTGGTGCCTGTCCTTTTTTGTGGCACAGGAAAAAAGACATTTCCTACTGTGGGGGGCAGACGTTTCCCATCAAACAATTTATCAATTGTGCGTCGCGTTACGTTATTTATGGCATTATTTGCCCTTGTGGCAAGCTGTACGTGGGGCGCACAACAAGAACCCTTAGGATTAGATTTGGAGAGCACAAAAGAAAAATTCTGAAAAAAGCAGATGACCATTCGATCCCACGACATTTTCTTGAGGCTCACAAATCTAATCCGGAAGGACTGAAGGTTTTCGGGATTGAGATGATCCCTGACAATTCTGATGAAGGCCTCAGATTCAAAAAACTTTGCCAAAGAGAAGCCTTTTGGATTAATTCTCTTAATAGCCTCCATCCCTCAGGTCTCAATGAGGGTCTTGAATTGGCCTCTTCACTTTGACCCCATTATTAATCTATTCCAGTTCGTGATCCTGATCCTCCGCCATCACCATCCACAGTCGAAGGATCGGTACATATTTTCATCCTTTATTCCCATCAGCCCCATCTCCTTCTGTATGCCCATTATAGCTCTTGCACATTACTTTCCCATGCTAGATATACATACATTCTTATGGTTTTATGCTCTCTCACACTCGCATTTATTACACACCCTTCATTCATTCATGCAGTTCTAATTTGCATTTGATATATATATATATATATATATATATAATCCGATTGGCCGCGAGTTAGGTGTCAGATTTAAGGCTTGTACAGCCTGCCCATCACCAAACTGGACACCACCCACCATACGGTGATGTCCTATCAGCATCTATTGCCCGGTCCAATCACGCCCCAGCTGCCCCTTCTTTAGTCACAGCAGGGAGGAGACTGGTATCACGTCCTGACGAAGGGGGCGTGCCCCGGAAACGCGTCGACACCTCAGTGATTCACACACAGGACGCACTGCACGGATCCTTTTTCTGCAGCTCGTTTTTACTTCAGTCTTGTGAGCACCTGTCAGTTCACTTTTTATGCCTGTTTATTGGAATAAACAAATCTGCACCAGGAAAGGCGCACCTTTTTGTGCTTTTTTGCAAATATTATTAAGTTTAAGGTCCATGGGAGAGTAGTCAATGGTCAAGTATCTGTCGAGGAACGCCATTGTTGAAAAAAAAAAACAGAAAAAAAACAAACAGTCTAGGAATTGCTAAAATGCATATTGACCAGCCACAATGTTTCCAGGAGAATGTCCTTTGGAGGAAAAACTGGAGGTTGTTTTGGCAAGCCACCAGCTATCATTACAAACAAAAATAAGATTTCAAAGAAAAGAACACCCACCATACCTACTGTGAAACATGGAGGAGGCTCATTTATGTTTTGGGGTTGCTATGCTGCATCTGGAAAAGCTGGGGGGGGGGGTTGAATATGTGCAGGGCACAATTAAATCTCAACACTACCAAGGAATTCTGGAGTGAAATTTACTGCCCAGTTTCAGAAATGTGTCTCAGTCACAGGTCATAGGTCCTACAACAGTATCATCGCTCAAAACACATAGCTAAAAGCACCCATAAATGGCTAAGAACAAAAGTTTGGCCTTCATTGAGCCCTGATCTAAAGACAGATACATAAATCACTAATTTGAAGTGATTGCCTCTAAAGGTTATGCAACGAAATATTAGTTAAGGGTCCCATAATTTTTGTCCATGCCATTTTCAGATGTTTTATTATTTAAAATATTCTGTTGAATCAAAGCCACATCTGATTTGACTAAATATAAAATAAACAATGATGGCTGCCAATTATTTTTGTCAATTTCAAGTTATTTCAGAGAAAATTGTGGCTTTTTTTGCAGACGGGTACCAACAAATGCATCCACATCTGCGACTGGTTTTACAATAATGAAAGATGCCTGTTTATATTCAAGATGGCCACAAAAACTCATCTCTACCATTCTCTGATTTTGTTTCACTTTGCTAATGGATGTAATGTTCCTGACTTTTGGCCAAGCCCAGCTTTCTTCCATTCCTAAAATTGAACCTACTGGCCTGACTAAAGCACTTTCCTTGTACGAGAGAATGCGTGGCATTTTGTAGTGTCTTCTCTTAGGCAGCATGTTTCCTTTAAAAGTTTAAGATGTCTGACCGGTTCCCTTTAAAAACAGAAACAAAGTCGGGCTAATTGACTATTGATAAACGAATAAAGGGGAATAATATCAATGTGGTACCAGTGAAGAGCATAGATCGGTTTTAGATAGAGTAGGGAAGGGGTAGATCCCTTAATTTATTTTTTTTACTACTGTGTCCCCACTGGGGATATTTTTCTGTTGACTTTTTGTCCTAAAGTGAGTGAAACGCCCACCTTTAATGGCCGTCACTGGAACAGGTGCCCCTATTTTTAAATCTCCCCTCTACTCCTGTTCTTGTGACAATTATCTTTCCCAGTGGAGACACACATAGAGGTATAGATCGGACAGCAGTATAAATCTAACCAATCCCTGCTCTGTTCAAATCTATAAAACAGGTATTGCAAGGGTTTTACTATAAACGTGTCACTCTTGCTGTATTATACTCTCTAAAGCTTAAGTGTTTGTACGAGTCTTAGTTCTATTATAACTTGCCTGCATATTGCTGATCGTTCCTTCTGAGGATAGGAGTGGACATTGCAGGAGAATTTTTCACATAGACTGTAAACTGATAGTAAACACATCTCTACCAGTGAGACAAAACTGTGCAGTGCACCGATTGCTTATTATAAAAGGTATATTTATTCATCCTTTTATACATAGGCCTTACCATGTATATGACACCAGGCAGGATCAACTACTTTACATCTCTTATCACTTAACCAAACATAATTCTAAAACTAATCTATGAAATGCAGCAAACATTAATTGGGCTGATGGAGGAATACTGATATCCATGCACATCTGTTGTTTTGTATAAAACATAATAACAATGTTACTTACCAAGCTCAGTTATGATGGGCATGTTGGCCCCTGTTGTAATAGAAGCCTGTCTTGCTAGACCATGCATTGGACTGTTGTCAGGGGAAGAACGGTCCATCCCAGGTGGAGTAAAACCTTGAAGTAAACATAGGAAACACAAATATGAATAACTGAATAAATACCTTGTGATAGCGAAGAAGGAATAGTATATTTGTATATATACACAAAATAATCAGAAGCAAACACAGCTTATGATCCTTGTGTTATGTAATGCTGGACACCCCTCAACAATCACTCCTGGGGAAACTAGTGATCCACCATATTGGATTTTGATTTTTTTTAACCTTGATTGCTTTCCCAGAAAGACCCAATAGCATTAGCAATTTGCTGACTTATTGAATGTGCTGTCTTAAATTCCTCTTTTAGTCACCATTTGTTATTTGACAAATTCAACAACCCAAAAACAAAAATTCATTTTTCAGACTTTTCCAGACATTTCCAGTGAACTTGCCAGAAATGCAGTGTCCTTGTCATCATTTTTTTCTGCCTGTAAACTACTGATCTCTTCATCCCCAATGTAATGATGTTGAACAAAGGCAGACAGTTTGTAGTCCAGGCTGGCTGACAACCATGGCTCGCTCTGTAGATACAGTGGATGAGTGAGCATAGTTACCCAGGGACAAGATGTTTGTTATATTCAGGATTACCAGGTGAAAATAAAGAAAAAAACCCTTACAAAAAGTAAATTATTGTAGACATCACATCCAAAGGACTAGTAAGCTGCATTGTATTAAATTGTGGTTTGGGGGTTTAGATACAGTGAAGGGAATTTATCAAAACTGGAGCAGTTGCCCAGGGCAACCAATCAGCATCTCTCTTCAGTTTGCTATGTTGGGATATGAAAACGATAGAGAGAAGCTGATTGGTTGCAAATCTGCTTCATATTTTGTCTGCTCCAGTTTTGATAAATTCCCCCTAGTATGCTTTAAAGTGAGATTAAAGTCACAAATTTTTTCCTACACCCATGCTGCTTTAAGGACTAAACTTAAAGGATGCCTCTGGATCCGATCATCTTCTTCCTTTCACTTGTATTCAGCAATCCCTCCAGCGCTGGTGCCGGTCTCTGACCCAGTGCAGACTCTTGTCTCTTCCTGTCCCACGGTATCTGTCCGACGTGCACGCTCCCGGCTGCGTGCATTCAGCTCCACGGTGTCTCTCTTCTCCCCACCGAAGATCTCTGCTGCGCATGCACCCGCCCCATCATCCTGCATGGCCGTTCGAGAAGCTTCAGAGGGGAGCGAGCGGTGGAGACACAGGTAAGTTTTTACTAACGATGCACCAATATTTCGGACGCCAAAACGTATCGTACGAAAATGGAAAAATAGCGGTGCATCACATCCATGCTTTCTCTCCTCCCCGCTTGGTACTGCTCTGTGTCCCAGCGGGGAGGAGAGAACCTGTGAAATGAAGCCGAGCGATGCAAGAGAAGAGCGCTGTGAGTGGCTGGCGTCTCTCCTCCCAGCACCGCTCAGTCTCTTGTGAAAGATCAGGAGAGCGGTGTGTGGGTGGAGCTCTCAATGCTGTCACAGGAGGCCGGTCGTTGCTGCGGGGTAGGAGTCAGCTGTCAGATCGAGATCTCCTCCCCGCACCGCTCGCTCAGCCTGTGACAGCTGATCCAGGATGGAGAGCATGTACAAACACTCAACACACTGCATGGGAAGTGATCTACATCACTTCCTGTTCATTCGTGATTGTGGATATAGTAAACACACTATGTCCACAAGTTATGAATGAACAGGAGCACTCAGTATAGAGGATTTCTGTTCATTTATAACAGGGGCTGCAGAAAAAGAGATTGAGGACTCTGTGTTCTCAATCTCTTTTTCTATTTTAAAAGGAAAATATCAGGGGTAATATTTCCCAGAAGCCCCTAAAAGTAAAGTTAAAAAAAATGGGAACTCACTCCAATGATGGACTACAATCTCACATTTAGTATACTAATTTGTATCTAAGATTGAATTCTATCACTGGAGCGAGCTTGGGGCGTTTTTTTTTTTGCAGGGTAGCTGGGAAATGCACTGGGAAATGTTTGTGTTTGTACTGTGTAACGCCCTTCCATGTGCATCTTACTTTAAAAGCTAGTCAAACATTGATGAGTGCAGTTGCCCTTTGCTTCATTGTGGGATTTGGTGTGGGGATACACTGGGGGGATTCAGCTGCCATTGTTATATGCTGAGCTTCTGGTGTGTCCCTGTGCCTTTAGGGAGGAATGTGCTGCCTCCAGGCATACCTGCACCCAGTTTTTATTTTGCTATATATGGAGGCTGTCCTAGATTAGAGTTAGGACCAGACTACACAGAGGAGCCTTGAAGAGGCAGTGTGGCTTCCACATATGTTTCAAGTTGTGCAACTAAAACCTCTGTCTTTAACACAGGATGTGAGACAGTGTAAGCTTTTTTTGCAGGCTAGGCTAGCTGGTAAGTGTGCTGGGAAATATTATATATATAGTGATGCAACGATACCAATTCAATTAGGGGGGTGTCCGAGTTTGTGCTTACCTAGGGCAGCACAAAACCATAATGCACCACTAAGTCCATCACAGGAGTGAGCTTGGAGATATATATATATATATATACACACACACACACACACAGTATGTAGAATAAGAAAAGCAGAACATAGTCTATAAGTGAACCGAAAAATCATCAAAGCATTAAATATTTATGGTTTAGAAGACATTTTTTTGCAGTTCAATAGGTTATAGAACCATATTCATTTCAATAATGGGTAGGGAGTTTACAATATAGAAATAGGACATCTCCTTCTTTAACATACAATCATTTCTGCTGAGTATTTAGAAATTGGCTTGCTGTTCGTGATTATATGGGTTCTTCTAAATATCTGATCATTCATTAATAATAGGATTACCTATATACTGTCTGCATAACAAAATCAAGGTATGTCATGTTTATGGAATGAACGAAAATGACATAGTTAAAATAAATAATTAACTTACATGTCTGCCTTCCGAACAAACTATTCATCCAAAAACTTATATAATGCACAACTCTATAGAATCAAAAATAGCAAATTGCAATGCTGTACACAGTATTTAAAAATTGGCAGCATTCCTGAACAATGAGAACCCCAATATACTCTACCCCTAACCTCCAGCCTTTTCATTTTGACTGGACAAGCATAACTGATTTTTAGTAACCAATAATACATTAAAACTTCTCAAGACATTTTGCACTGGTAAATCTCACTTGGTTTGCCTGTTTGTATTTCCTGTAGTTTGGGTAGTAGAAACAAGGGTGTAAAGTGTTTGGCAGTAAGAAACCACTAAATCGCAGGCCCCTGTAAACCTCCTTTTTTATATTTTAACAGATCAGAATAAAATTGTGTTTATCAGCTACCATATCCATCCAGGCACAAACGTGAACTATGTCCAGTATGAAGACCCTGGTTTTTCTGCTACATCACAAGCCTCTAATTCTATTGAATAACAACACATGTATAATGCAGGGCCTTGCAAAGACACATCCATCAAGGAAAACTAAAAGTCAAAAAAGCACAGCTAAAGGAAAAATCTGGACCACTTTCTTCTTGAAATAGTTAAGGTTGCAGCAAAGCTATGTCATTTAAAACCATAAGTCCACCGTTTAAATATTTCCCAGTGATATTTATATGTGCTTAAAATAGAATACCATCATGGTCTTTTCATTGAGACGTCATGTTATTCATGTGCTATACAATACTGTATCCAAATCATAGAATAAAGAGCACTTACATGTTAACTACTATTATGTAATTCCTGGATGTCACTTATTGATGTGGTCCCATTTTGCAAAACCTCTACAAAAGTTTGGATGTTTCAGAATAATTAGATAAACAAGGAGTTATTTTACTTGTTATATAGGAATCTACTATAAAAAGTTATGTTTAAAAACAGGCTGCCCTCTGGTGGCTGCCTCATACAATACGATGACAGTAGGTGAAAGGCTTGAAGGCAATTAAATGTTTAAAATTCTTTAGAAGACTGATGCAAGTCTCTTTAGTCAAGACAGCATTGTTAATCAAATGACAGACCTGACTGTCAGATCATGAGATCTGCCTATTTAAAACACCCAGACATAATATGAAACATTCAAATTAAGTTATCAATCTAACAGATTTTAATGACTAAAGAAAAATAATTATAATTTTCAACTTTGAAAAATGTATTTGTTCTTCATTTTATCTTTATGGGAATCCATATAGCATTTTGCATAGTTCAACTCCAGAAAAAGTATAGATTGAAAAGAAAGTAGGGATGTGACAGAATGAATCCAAAAAATACCAGCTGGGCATTGAAATGTGGTATGATTCTATTACTAAATAGCAATGGATAGAAACACTAAACATTTCCAGGTATTTAGGGAGAAAACTATGCGGTCTGTAAATAACTAAACCTTACAATTTTTTTTAAATAAAAGCTTAAAATAGAAATCCAGACAAACAACATAATACAACACTGAAATAAATATGTGAAATTTGATTTGCATAAGTTATCACGACTTACACACCTCTGCAATACATCATAGTCAGGCAGGTGAATCAATACTGGATAATAATCAGTATCACCACACTGCTGAAAGGAAATAGTGGTGTTGGTGAAACAGTTTGGATATATGTATTTAAATTTTATATTTAGTTGCCTCCCTGAAGATCCATTTTGAACCACATGATAAATCAGTGCTTATCTTATTTCCTTCATGAAAACTGCAAGAGAGGCAGGAATATTATACAAAAAAATTTCCAGAAAAAGAGACTACCTGAGAAAAGCCAAATACGTCAGATCCCAAAAGGGTTGAATCTGCCACAATATGATACATAGGAGTTCTTTGAATTCTTTGAAATGGTGCTTATGGGAAAATTATGCAGATTAAAACTTGATTAGGGTGATTTTGTGATGCTCAATCTGGACTTTTAATCTATTAAATTCCTATAAACGAGCCAGTGGAATGGCTCCCTTGACACTGCTACAATAACTATCACAGAGAGTTTTTACAAGGAGCATTCTTTAACCAAGAAAGATTGGACACGTTAGTGGTGCCTGAGTGACGTGTAACTGGGAATTTCTCATTCTGTTTTCT